TAAGCTCCATGAGGACAGAGGCTTTTTGCATGTTGTTACTCCTCCTATTCCAGAACACTGTCTGGCATGGACAATGAAAAAATGATCACCGAATAAATAAACAATGCCTCCTGGACTTGGGAGGCTGCTGTAGCATGGAGGGAAAGATTACCAGACAAGGAATCAGGAGATCTAGATGTGAATCTGATTATAGTAGTCCCCCGCTTAGCCACATTTTCGCTTTCCACAGTTTCAGTCACCCCTGGTCCACCGTGCTCCAGAAGCAGATATCATCAGAAGGTCTGTACTAGTCTAACCCACTAGGTCACAAATCCTACATCACTCACCTCACTTTACCTAAGCACACAGGCATTTTATTATCTCACAGCATCACAAGAAGAAGGTGGATATAGTACAGTAAGACATTTTGAAAGAGGCCACATTCACATAACTTTTATTAGAGCGTTGTGTTTTAACTGTTTTAGTCATTATTACGTATTGTGGGTAATCTCCTACTATGCCTAACTTATTAATTAAACTTTATCCCAGGAATGTACATGTAGGAAAAACAGTACATATAGGGTTTGGTACTATCTGTGGTTTCGGGCCTCCACTGGGGGTCTCAGAAAACATCCCCCAGGGATAAGGAAGGGGACTACTATTGTAAACTAGGAAATGAAAGCAATTCCCAGGTTTGTAGTGCATAGTAATACAGCTAGTTAAATCATTTAACCTCCAAGGTCCTCTGTTTGCTCATCTATAGAACAGAAACGAAAACCTTCCCAATCACCGTGTGGAGGAAAATGTTATGCAAATGGAAAATACTGTCGAGCTCCAGTAACTGATCACATGCTAACCTACTGAGAAATCAATGTTAACACTGCTAGACAAAAGTTTATTCTCGGGCGCCTGGGTGGCTCAGTGGGTTAAGCCTCTGCCTTTGGCTTGGGTCATGATCTCAGGGTCCTAGGATCAAGGCCCGCAACAGGCTCTCTGCTTGGCAGGGAGCCTGCTTCCTCTCTATCTCTGCCTGCCTCTGCCTGCTTGTGATTTCTCTGTCAAATAAATAAATAAAATCTTAAAAAAAAAAAAAAAGTTTATTCTCTTTGTAAACTAGAAGGACAACCTGAACTATAAACAAAGACTTTAAACTGCTCTTCTCCCTCTCTCCAATTTGTAATGTGTCTACATTATTAATTATACACATTAGTATCCTAATACTAGTATCTAACTTCTGGGCATCACGGCTAAAATAATTTTTGCTTTCTATCCATTTCACCCAGGGCCAGGCACTGAAGGACCAGACTTCAGAAGTATGGCTGCAAGACCCAGAGGGAAGCTGGGGCCTGAGGTGCCCTCGGCTGTCCAGGGAGAGAGGGTGTCTGGGGCTTCTGTCTGGCGTTGGGGAGGGACAGACCTTATCCATTCCCTTCTGAATAGGGGAGATGAGACTTTGTGTGTTGAGATCTTTGGTACTTTTATTTGGTCCCGGAACTGTTCTCCTCATCTGTCTTCCTGCAGCCCATAACCAAACAAAGCTGAGAGAGGCTCTCACAGAGGCAGAAATATAAGCCAGGTTCCTTAGTCAAGAAAATAAAATGTCAATAAAATGTCAACACAGTCTGAAGGGTGTCTAGAAAATACAGACCTCGCCAAAGCACAGCTGGAAAAACTGGTACTTGAAAGAGGAAAGAGGCATCTTCTGTAAATTCTACTTTTGTTTCAAGTTACATAACAAGAAAAATAAATACTTCATTTAAGTTAGTTTAGTTCTTCACAGAAATCCCTTAATCGTGATTCAGAATGATGGCATTAGCATGTATTAAGGGAATATAAAAACCAAGGTGTGTTTCTCAGTCCTCTAGAAAACTTCTTGTTACATTAACCCCTGCACTTTTTATAATATTCTAACAAATTCACTGAATTTATTGCCAAGGCAGAGAAAGTCACCTCCTGACTACAGGGTCTGATTATGCTCCTTGGTATGCTTCAGGTGATGTGAACTATATAGCTCATCCTTTTCTCCTTTGGTCTTGAGTTAAATTAATTCTCAATTTTAATAATCCCATGCTTGATTTTTATAAGTAAAAATTCCCCCCACCCCCGATTTCTGTAGGCCTTTTCTAATTGCACTCATTTTCACTGTACCCACACTGCCCTCCTGTGCCAAGCACCAGCTCTGGAATTAAAGAGCCTAAATAACTGTGTCATTGTCATCCTCAACCTCCTCACCATGGTTTTGAAAACAGCAACCAACATTTGCTCAGTACGTGGGTTATGTGCCATATCCAAGCCCATTCAGATTTTAGAGCCCCTGGCTCCCTTTTTTTAATGAATAGGAGATCAATTATTAATAAAAACCTCCTGAGTGATATCCTTATTCCACTTCTCTCCAACTAGATTGCCAGCACCCTGAAGGCAGGGAGTCCCCATAATTCATGCTTCTTTATACATTCTGCCATATTTAGCACAATACCTTGTGCATCATACAGATCTAATAAATACTTGCTGACTTAGGAAGGCCAAGGACAAATTACAACAGGTAAACCGACACAAAAAGGGGAAAGAGACAAAGCAGAAAATACTGGTCAGCTATCTGACTGGCTTATTTCCTTTTCTTTACTTTCTCTTGTGAGTTCTATAACCGGTCAGGAGGCCAAGGACTTAGGGCAGCCCTTTGGGATCCAAGCTCAGGGATCCACCCCAGGTTGGTTCACCTTTGGCCAGAAGGTAATTACATGAGAGCAAGTAGAGCAAGTCCCTGAGATGTGGAAGGCTGGACAGAAGGAGGGCTGCGAGCCTGGCCTTGCTCCACACCAGGATCACTGCACTGACTGAGCCCAGCTCCTTCTGGTGCCCACCCCAACCTGCCCCTCTTCCTATTGGCAGAACCCCAGACATCCTGCTCTCCTGCACAGCAGGGGGCGCCTCAGTCCCCAGCTCCTCCCCCTGGGTCCTGAAACTCTACTTTCTTCCAAGTCTGGTCCTGTCAGTGCCTGGGTGTTGTGAAAACCAAAGGAGAGGAGGAGGTGAAGCAGGAGAGGCTGGTCCTGCCCCCCTTCTCTGGCGGCTCCCCAGCTGGCCTCTCCCTGGGAGCCCGAGTCCAGAAAGAAGGAAGTGCTGATTCTGAGGGAAAAAAAAGACATGGGCCCAGCTGGTTTTGTCTTCCTGCTGCCCCTTCTGCTGGGGATCTCAGGTGTGTTCCTGGGGTGACGAGAGTCCTAAGCGGGGGTAGCGGCTCAGCCCAGGACAGCTGCCCAGGGCATGGGCTGTGGGCCTCCTATGGCAACAAGAATTCATCATGGGTGTCTCCCACATACCCCCTTTTCTCTCCCTAGGCGCCAGTGAGGAGGAACCAGAGAATCTCCTGAAGTCAAGTAAGAGGCCCCAGCCAGTGCAGCAGGACTGGGTGGACCAAGTGACAGGCATTTGTGCCAAGCTGAAGAGAGGACACCAGTTTGGGAAAGGAGTGCAGAGGGGTGGGGGCCGAGGGGCAGATCTCTGGGCAGATCTCCCATGCCTTTCTCCTCTTTGCCGGCAGTCTGCGGGCGCCCCGCCGTCTCATCTGGCATTGCCTCTGGCAGGGAGGCCAACGTGGGCCAGTGGCCCTGGCAGGTCAGCGTCCGCCAGGGCCTGCTTCACATCTGTGCAGCCACCCTCATCTCAAAGCAGTGGGTGCTGACCGTGGCAAGCTGCTTCCGGTGAGTGCAGGCCTTGCTTCGGAGAGACCCGTTAGGGGACTCTGGTGACTGGAGGGCCGGCTACGGTCAGAAAGGAGTTTACCTTGCACTGGCCCGATATGGTACCCTGTGCCTTAGATGAGGGTCCATATGTTTCTTGCCCTAGGTCTCCAGTCAATACAACTACTCTTAAGATTTCAGGCATCTTCATATTTGACAATCACTTTGACTGAAATGAATGCCTAATAACAGTTATCCCCTGTGCCCCCAACTCAGTAGCTACCCAAGGAGATACTCCCTGAGGGGGGAATCCTCCCTGTCCAGCATGCCACATGTTCACACCACTCTGCATGCACAATCTTGAGCCCTCTTTACTCAACCAAGGTGACCTCATTCTCTCCTATGGTTTAAAATGTCATATATTGGCTGGCAACACCCACATGGACATCCCTAGCCCCGAGCTCTAGTTCTGCCCCATTTCCATCTGGAAGTCTCACTGGTACCTCAAAGGTCACTTGAGCAGGACAGAGCTCCAATTTCACCACCACCATCATCCCCAAAACAAATTCTATCTTCTCTGTCTCATTCAACAACATAACCAGTTAGTTGCTCAAGTCATACTCAGAAATATGAAGCCCACTCTCCCTCACCCTCCATATGCCAATTGTCAGTTTTATTTCCAAAATACACTTTGACTCCAGTATAGCTGGCCCCAGACCACTGCAGTAGTATAACAGGTTTTGCTACTTGATTCATATACATAACAAAGTGATTTTTCAAAAAGTCAGTCACTCCCTCCTTCAAATCCTTCAGTGGATGCCCAGGCAACAGAATAAAAACCAGCTGCCTCACTGTGGCCGATAAGCCGTGGATCACCAGATAGCTGTTCATTTTCCCAACCTCATCTCATTCTACTCCGGGTTAACCTCAATTCCTAGAAACTGCCAAGTTCTTTCTCACCCTCCAGGTCTTTGCACAGTCTATATTATATTCCTTCTGTCTCCAATGCTTCTCCTGATAGCTCTTCTCAAGGCTAACACTCGCATCTTTTGGGACCCTGTTGAGAACTTACCTCTTCAGTGAGACCTCTCCTGATTGCCCAATCCAAAGACTCTTCCCCTATTCCTTTACTCTCTAACTTAAAATCCCATTTTCTTCATAGTATTTATCACACTTTAAAAGGCTGTACTTGTTAAATTGCCTGTTGCTTGGCCATCTTCTTTCCCTCCCTTCCTCACTCCCCTCTCTCACACACACTCGCAGTGCGCACAGACACGCAGGCATGCACACAATCCACCAGCCCTATGAGGAGGGCCAGATCATGTCTAAGTCTCATTCATATTCTCAGGAAATGCTCAATACTTAGTGAAGGAACAAAAGCTTACGAGGAGTCAGAGGAAAAATGCAACCTCCAGAACTGGGGTTTTCAGGGACACCACATGACAGAGTCACGAGAAACTCATGGTCCCCCCACTCTGCTTCTCTTCTCAGGTCTAAGGACACCAGAAAATACCATGTGTTGCTGGGGTCATTTCAGGTCTCTGATCGCCTAAGCTCCAAAACAACGGCAATCCCTGTGTCCAGGATTATCCCCTACCCTCACTTCCAGGGAAACACAACTAGTGCCATCGCTGTGGCAAAACTGGCCTATCCAGTTTCTTTTACCCCTGTTGTCCTGCCCATCTGCCTCCCCTCATCTGCAGTACAGCTCAAGAACTCAACCTCCTGCTGGGTGACTGGATGGGGCTATTCTGGAATGCACCAACGTGAGGATAAGTAGATTTTCTGAGCTCTCTTTTCCTCAGCTGACATTCTCTCCCCCTGCTCCCTATCCCAGCCCTAGCTCCACATATACTGCACTCTCCAAGGCAATTAATCTGACACGCCACAGACTTTCAAATTCTCCTTGACCCTGTTCCCTCCCCTTTGCTTTCATGCTTCTGCTGCAATCTCTCTTGCTTATTCGTGTCTGCCTTTGCTCTTGTTTAGCAGAAGTGCTAAGACCTTCAAAGTGAGAAAGACAAGACAAAGAGCTTACAGAGAAGGTAGCTCTCAGTCTGAGATGTAATAGAGCTTTCCCTCTGCACCTGGGTGGTGTATGTGGTTAGATGGAGAGGGGAAGCGGGCATGAAGATGTATTCAAAAAAGTAAGGCTGCTCAGCAAGTCTCAAGTCAGGAGAGGAAAGTAGAGCTTCATGACTGAATCAACAGTCTTCATTCTTCAGAGTCTGCTAGATCTACTACCTCTTCGCATTCTATGGAATGTAACAATATATTCCAAGGCCAAATGAGGTCATTCTGCGTCATTGTTTTGGGTTTTCCTGAGTCACAAGATTTTCTGTTATTTGTGGCATCTGAGTGGGAGCAAATGCCTTCTGCCCTGTTCAGACCCAGGGAACTCAGCCTTTCGGCTATTTCCCGAACTGGAAAGCAGAATGCCATCTGATATGGAGGCAGAATATTTAAAAGCAGAGCTGAAATCCCTGAAAAACAGAGGCATTAAATCTCTATCCCTAGCTGAAAGTTGCTTCCTGCATTTTTAAGACAGCTCCGATTGTTTTTGTTCTCACAGATATGAGGCCGTCTTATATACTGAAGGAGCTGGAAGTGCCCCTTATGGATCTCCAGACATGCAGTGACTACTACGAGAAAGCAAACCTGCGTGGAATCAAGCCCATCATCAGTGAAGCCATGATCTGCTCCAAGCTCCCAGTGGGGCAGACAGATCAGTGTATAGTAAGAATCCATCCTGTAGGCACCTTCTAGAACCCTCCCCTTTCCCATGTGCAAATTTATTCCATGTCTCTTATCTTCAGAATCCCTGGGTGAATCCAGCAGTGCCTGGAGAGGCCCTAACTCCACAGTTCTTGACTAACCAACTGGGAGAGTTACTGTCTACCCTGTGCAAGGCCTAGTCATATTTCTTCTCTCCCCAGGGCAGTAGAGGTGATCCCCTGACGTGCAGAGTGGAGGATTTCTGGGTCCTGGCAGGAGTGGTCAGCTGGGAGTCAAACTGCATCCAAAACAATGAGCCTGGAATATATACAAACATCAGTTTCTATAAATCTTGGATTGAGAAGTCAGCCATTTCACATACTGACTTTTCTGCTGTCATCAGTCTGTACTTCTCTGGGCTCCTCCCTGTAATGCTTCTACCTCTCATTTTCCTGGGGCTACCCTAAGTGGCTGAGGTTAGTACGACCAGAGTAAGTGACAATTAAGAATGAGGAAAAAAAGCGGGAAATTCTAGTAAGTTGATGGCTTTTGTTTGTTTTTTAAATAGGCTCCATGCCCAGTGTGGAGCCCAACGACCGAGCAAGACCTGAAGGGAGATCACGTCGAATCCCTAACTGACTGAGCCACCAAGGTGCTCCTAGAAGTTGATGGTTTTGATGAGAGATTTTGAGGAGTCACCAAGACAGATGCAGTTCTGCTATTTCTGCTAGTCACCATAAGCCTAACTTGTCTGTTGCCTTTTATCCCCAAGTCAACCTGGAAAACAAGATCCCCAGTGTTAATAAAGTTTGGTTGATTCCAACTGTTATTTCTTATATTCATTCTTTTGATGAAACGAGACAGCGCCTGGGGAAATCCCAAAGCACAGAACTTTAGGGCTGAAAAAGATCTGGAAATCACCTGGCCCAACCAATCCCACATTCCACAGAGGAAGAAACTGGAGTCCAGAGAAATTAGTAAGTTTTCCTTTGCTGAATTCCAGATGAAAATCATCCAATATGGGGGGCACCTGGGTGGTTCAGTGGGTTAACCCCCTGCCTTCGGCTTGGGTTGTGATCCCGGGGTCCTGGGATCGAGTCCCACATCGGGCTCTCTGCTCAGCAGGGAGCCTGCTTTCCTCTCTCTGCCTGCTTCTCTGCCTACTTGTGATCTTTCTCTCTGTAAAATAAATAAAATCTTAAAAAAAAAAAAAAGCAAGAAAAGAAAATCATCCTATATGGGCCTAGACTGGGTTCTGAAGAAAGAGCAAGGACTCAAAAGATGAGGTTTCAGTGGAAACAGAGCAGGAAAGAGGAGCTGAGGGCAGTATGTTAGTTATTCCTGTGCAACAAATCACCCCAAAACTTAACAGCTGAGAAAACTCAAACACTGATTCTCTCACAGCGTCTGGGGTCAATAACCAGGGAGGGCTTAGCTAGGTAGTTCTGGCCCAGGGTTTTTTTCAAGGGGCTGCTGCTGTATCAGCCACAGTCATCTCAGAGTTCAACTAGAAATGGAGCTGCTGTCAAGCTCATTCATAGGTCTGCTGCCAGCTCCAGAGGATCTGCTTCTAAGGTCACTCACACATCTCTGTAGGGCTGTCTCATGGCAACTGCCTTCCCCTAGAGCGAATGAGCCAAGATAAAGTAAAAGAGAGCATTCAAGATGGAAGCCACAGTCTTTTCATAACCTGATCTCACAACTGACATCTCATTACTTCTGCTGTATTCTAGTCTTCATTTATTTATTTATTTTTTCTTTCTCCATACCCAGCATGGAGGCCAAAGCAGGGCTTGAACTCATGACCCTGAGATCAAGATCTGAGCTGAGATCAAGGGTCGGATGCTCAACCAACCCAGGCACTCCTGCTGTATTCTAGTCTTTAAAACATTGAATCAATGAGGTTTGAGTTTCAGGAGGCAAGGATGGCTGGGGCCTCTGATCTTAAAGGGTGCTTTCTGTAGAGTCAGGGAAGGGTGTGGCCTAAGGAGCTAGAAAGCTAAAACTAACCAGCATTTTGTAGTTGGGGATTAAATGGGGGGAGGGGGAGTTTAAATAGAGATATTCAGAGAAGAATGCCTTCTGAGCCTTCCACTAAGAACGTGGGATCTGACACTGGCCAATGCTGACTTAATTATTGGATTTCATAACAAGCTGATTAAAATAATAACAGGATTCTCTGTATTACTAGATAAGTAATAGTTAAAAATATAATTGGAAGAAGTTTTGGCAAGACAGTGGAATGCACAACAAAAAGTGGACATACATCCCTTGCTCAAATTTCATTAAATACCAATAAAATCATTGCTTTAAATGGAAAATTTTCATTAATAACTGTGAAGATAATTACTTAAAAATACGTAAATTAAATCTGGGCCATTAAAAAGCTTTCCATACACATGAAAATGATAACTTTGAAAAAAATTAATTCTCTAAATGAAAAAATGATACAAAGTACAAGCAGGATTCAAAGAATGATAACAATTTATTCTCAAAGGGACACTATTCACGTTAATAACTTTCCTCAGGATTTTTTTTCAGACAACAACACTACACAATGGCAAGCAGGGACATATTAACATAACTTACAAAATTGACAAAAGATAAACTCACTAAACATGTGAGATTCTAAGGATAAAAGATAACGTTGTGAGAAAAGACAATGGATCTAGATTCTAGAGCCAAGAAATCCAACAAGGAGAGCAAAGGTTTTAGGATCAGGAAATAAATTGTGGAAAGGCACCTTCCAAGTTCCCTGACAGAACTCTCAACTCAAGGCCTATGTCTGCTTATATTTAACAGATCCAGTAGATGATCCTTACCCTTCTTCACACAGCAGAACTGGAAAATCAACGAAGTGAGTAAGGGCGGGGAACGTAAAATGCACCTATTTCCACTACAAGGCACTGTCCCGCCCCTTTCCTACCAGGACGCTCCAAAAACGGACACTTAGCAGAAAAATTTACACATAATGCACGAGATGGAATGAGGTAAGTATCTGTAAAAAGAACCTCCCCAAATTTCAGGAAATACATGCCTCTGTGTTTTAATAAGCTGAACTTGGAGATCTGGGTATAAGGTCAAAGCAACGTAAGAGGCGTGAAATCGTTAAGTGAGAAGCTTAAATCTAATCAACAGCACGAGGCCGAGGCCCTGACTGTAATCGGAAGGGAAAGGTCAGCACGGAATCCAAGGCAGCAAAAGCCAGATAACCGTATGAGTTATAGGCCATTAAGGGGAAAGAGACTCTGAATTTGATGAATATAAACGTCACAATTATTTAGAAAAATATGTTCTGTTGTGGAGAAGCACTCTTTTACCTAGTTTTCATAAAGAAGGGATATTTCATCCTAATAAGTGAAATGCTCATAAAATGAGATTAACCACTTCCATTTATTCAGATCCTAAGTCTCTTCAAACCACCACCAACTTACTAATTTGTCCCTACTCATATCAACAAGATGTGCCCTGGTTAGGAAAAATGAAAATTCCAAATAACAGAAAGGAATAGGCCTCAATGCAAATAAACATTCTGGCTCATACACAGGTCTCTTAAAATTTAGTGAGTCCGTCTCTTGAATTTGATGTATTCCAGGTGATCTGACAAACCTTGAATTTCTGAAGCTAAAAAACTAAGGCCCCAAATTGAGAGGACTAGTGCTAAGTCACATTGCCTGTGAAATATCTGCCTAAGGGAGACTCTCTGGGTGATATGGCATCTTTACCTCATCTCTGTAGCAGGAATTTATATTTACTTTATGCCTCCTCTGTATTGGCTAGTACACTGATCACTTTATTTATTTATTTTAGGGCACCTGGGTGGCTCAGTCGGTTAAGCATCTGCCTTCAGCTCAGGTCATGATCCTCGTGTCCTGGAGCCTCACACTGGGCTCCCTGCTCAGTGGGGAGCCTGCTTCTCCCTCTCCTTCTGCCTGTCACTCTCCCTGCTGTGTGCTCTGTCTCTCTGTCAAATGAATAAATAAAATCTTTTTAAAAAAGGATTTCTTTATTTTAGAGAAAGAGTACAAGTACATGCATGAGAGTGGGGCAAAAGGGAGGGGCAGAGGAAGAGGGAGAGAGAGTCCCAAGCAGACTCTGAGCTGAGCACGAAGCCCAATGCAGGGCTCAACCTCATTACCCTGAAATCACAACCTGAACCAAAACCAAGAGTCAGATGCTTAACTGACTGTGCCACCCAGGCAACCCGTTATCACTTTAAATATTGTCTTACTTAGTTCCTAACAATTCAAGAATGGATTACTAATTTTGCTTTCACCAATCAAAACACACACACACACACACACACACACACACACACTAAACACACTAAACACAACTGAGGCTCAGAGAGGTTAAGTAACTTGCCAAAAATCACATAGCTAACATTTGATTAAATAGATTTATCCAGGACTGTCTGACTCAAAAGATCTGGCCCTTTTCACTATACCAGATTACCTCCACTAACTGTTAGAAGGCTCTACTAAAGGTTCGTCTTTATACTATGCCAACATAACACTGCCCTTTTTCCTGGTTATTTGCACTTACTATACTCCTAGCTCCACTTGTAATTATTTAGGTATACACAACTTAACTTCTCCTGAATAGATAAGAACATCCTTGAGAAAATACGCAGTTATCCTATTCATGTTGACCTTCTAACAGCATCTAATATAGAGACTTGCAAACAGAAAGCATCAAATCTTATTTTTTGAAAAACAAAATGAGAGCAGTTGTCAAAACCATAGGAAGAATTCCTTTAGTATGAGAACAAGTAAGCAAATAGAAAAAGGGAAATATTTTTTCTCTTAGTGATCAAAAGAACAAGACCAACAGCTCTTACAAAGAGGGACTGACTGAGCGGCAGGCCGCAGGGCCCTGGGCAAGTAGGATGGAGCTCAGAACAGCATCAGTCCCGTGGAGAAGGTGACTACAGAAGAGGGAAACTATACAGAGTGTTGGCCAAGAAGGCAAAGAGCTGGGAAGAAGAGAAGGGTGTCTCTAAAAAGTTGTCCAGGGCTTAGCTCTGACATAATGGACGCCAAGTCTATGAACTAATGCTAGAACACACTGGTTAGTGGAACTAAAGGGGGACTAAAAATGTCTCGTACAAGTTCAAGAACTGAGAACAGACTGGATCTTTTAACAGGCATAGGGTCTATTGTGGCAAGGTGACAGAAAAGGCAAAATGCCAGAGTAATCAATGATTCTTTAAAAGACAGTTTTATAAGGGGATTTATTCATTTTCCAATATAATACATCAGTCTCATGGGTTGAATTATAAAAGAGACAATGGAATCCATTTGCCCTTCCTGGAAATACAGACAAAAAGCTACAAAAACTTGCAAATCTACTGCTGTCCCTGTTTTATTCTCAGGTGCTCAAGAGAAGATTGCATCCCTGAAGTGGCATCCCCACTTTCCACAGTGGTTCCCAACTGAGGGTGATTCAGCGCCCCCAGGGGACATCTGGCAATACTCATGACAGGAGGTGGTAGTACTCCTGACAGCCAGTAAAATAAAGGCCAGAGATGCTTCTTAACATCCTACAATACCCAGGACAGCACCCCACAACAAACAATCATCCGGCCCAAAATGCCAAAAGAGCCA